GGACTAGTCTTGTTGCGCCTATCTATTGGTCTCGTGCCAGCCGCTGAAAACCCTCAAGGTTTCGCGTTTAGGCTTTCGTGCTTTCTCCGCCTCTGGGTCGGCGGACTGAGCCGGAGGCTCTTAAGTATCAGGGCACTCGGGCTCCCAGGAGAATGCGGGCATGGTGCAAAGCAGCCTCGTCAAGCCATGGTGCTCCAAGCTCTACGGGTGAGGCGCACAGGGTTGACAGGGGTAACATCTGCCAAAGGCACAGTCAAAGGCAAATACTCTCGGATCCTGCAACATTCAAAGAATTTAGGAAAATCAATACGTAGGCGAGCTGCAGCTAAGATCAGCTAAGCAAAAGGCGTGTTGGGCCACCTGAAGCTCTTCTCAGGATCGTATCTGGGGTATAGCCATTCACCGAAGTGACTCCGTCTATGCACCCCTAAGTCAAACTTTATCAGCCGAACACAAGCTGGGCCACGCATAGTGAGGCATAGGCATGCTGACTGACGACGCTCCCAACCTAATTGCAGCCAACAACCTCAGACCCAACAAGAAAGATTACGCGCGTGCTGCCATGGCAACCAAGTGGCTGCACAGGCTGCGCAAGCATCCTGGGGCTTTGGATTTGGTTTGCGCTCGCCATTGCATTAGGTGTCTGAGCTTCTGTCATGGCAATGCAACATGCCATCGCGACCGTGACGGTTTCCCAGGAACAGAAGACATGTATAAGCCAGCACATCGAAGTGGGGGGCAAATTGCAAGACTCTCAGCTGGGCTGAAGGGCAAAGACAGCAAACCAGAGTTTGCACTGGCTTGCACAATTGGTGTACAGACACATACAAGTCAACCCCCTAACTTCATACCGGTTTCTTACCTGCAGATAGGATGCATAGCCCGTGCGCTGCTCAAGCAGCTTGGAGTGGTCACGCGCATTGTCCTCGTTGACCTGTGTGATTCCACAGAAGCATGCCAATCTTGTGGCACATAGGCCCCTTCAAGAGCGTGTAAAAACTGATTGACAACCCTCGCATGGAACTGTTGCATATCCAAGATGCATGCTGGTAGCCCGTGCGCAGATCTGGGTTGAAGCAAACGTCACACTGGTAGCCACCGTGCTGAAGCCAGGCCTGGCGTTGCCGTCGGTCAGGTGCTGTCAGGTCTCTACCATTTCGTAACGTTACAATGATTCAGAGCTGTGCTTCTGTTTACGTGGTTTGAACATGGTGCAGTGAGGTTGTCCCTGAAGGAATAACTTCTGTACGCATGTCATGTCATATCATGCTAACACGTCATCAATTGCGCGATGCGGCAACATGCTGGAAAAGGGGCTCTACGGGAATCGAAAGACGCATATCCAATAATCAGTTTGTATGTCTTGGCACTACCCGTCTGGCCCCGCGTCTAGCTGCAAATCCTTCACAGGCTGTTCTGCTCCTGTCCGGTATTGAGCTTTGCATGCAAAATTACATTCAAAATAATTACATTACATGGGCATGACTAAGACAATGATCCTTTGAACTTTGAAGCGCACAACTGAGTCGCCCAAAACTACCATGCCAAGCTGCAGGAGTGGGAAGCGGATTCATCCAATGCAGCCTGCAGCACCATCAGGCTTGACTTGACTTGACCTTCAAGCCGCTGCAGCTCAACTTCCAAGCATCATGCGACACGCAGAAGGATTGCCCTCACATGACCATGAAGGTGGTGTGCGCGAGTGGTACCATCAAAAGTTATCTGAGAGGTATTAACGCTAGCTAGCCGCAGGAAGAGCCTCATTGTAGACATATGTAGACATGACCCATGGCTCCTGCATCCAAGCGTTGCGCATGCCTGATGAGTCCTTCTGAGCTGTGTTGGAAAATGATCTGGTCCACCCCTTCCAGGACGGTGCCCAGCCTTCGGCAAGACATCGAGCGTCCAAACTTGGAGTTACGAAATGTAATTCTAGCAATGGCTAGCCCGCAAGCCAATGCTTTGCTTTAGCACCAAAGTCGCGAGCGCACGCGCGCACACACACACACACACACACGCGCACACACTCACACACACACACACACACACCCACACACCCACACATGTTCCCTCAGCTGCGTTGTCTGGAAATGCACAGCGCTGCTTGCAGAATGAAGTATACGGTATTTCCAACAGTGGAATTCAAGCACCAAAGCCTCGCAGCATGTTGTTTTTGCCCGTGCTTGAATCTTCATCTTGCCCTTGGGATGTTCTGAGCCAATAATGCAAAAAAACACGGGCTGATTACAGGGGTGCGCGTTGACTCTCCCAAATGCTGCCTCTCGTCTGCGAGGGGCTCCTTGGGCCAGGAGAGGCGAAACTCCAGGGACCTGCATAGGCAGTGAGAACGGATTGGTGCCTCCTAGGTCCTCCGCTGACTTAAGCAAATTGAAATGTCATGCTGTTTCCTCGGGAATTTCCAACCTGCTGAGTCGGAGGCGAGCAACATGCAAGTACTGCCTTGACGCACAAAACCCGACAAGCAGCATATGTTTTCAGAATCGACTTCACCTAGTAATTAAAAGACACTTTAGTAGTAAATACGGTTACATTGGCCTGTCTTAAAAGAAAATCCACCCGTGCTGAGGTCATTAGGAAGCTTATGATAGGGAATCAACTTGATTTCATGTGGTGGCCTGATTAGTGTAGGGGGCCCCCTCCGCCCCCCAAACGAATATGGGGGCCCATTTAGTGTAGGGGGGGGTACCCCCCAAACAATCCATGGCTTTCAGGTTTTACTTGAAATTCAATAGGATGGATCAGGATCCGCTCGGATCCCAGGTTTAAAAATAAATTCAATAGGAAGGATCAGGATCGCGGAAGCTTGGCTTTAAATGCTGAGCCTTTAAAAGTAAAAGGTATTTGCTTTCTGCCAATTTAAGGCTCCCCCGATTTGATGGATAATTGAGGCCCTAGGGAGCTGCTGGGCTACCCCTTAAGAAAAGTGATTGCTAGGCCCCCTGGCATAAGAGCTATCTCACAAGAAATCGGTAGTTTTGGACCTGGCTTGGAACCTTAGAAATCCGGAGTTTTGAGGACCTCAAAATCCGGAGGTTTGAGGTTCTGGAAGCTCTCGACAAGGGGCTCTAGTCTAAGTAACCAACGGGCAGCTTGGATTAGGACCCTAAACTAAATACTTACTGCCTGCCATGATTTTCAAAGCAAATTAGGTTTATTTCTTTTGCCTGCTTATTCTCAGAACCATTTTTTGGCAGCGCAACTTCGCACAATTAAGGCCCCCCAAACCAATTAGAGGGTACTGAATAATTTCGGCAAAGCTTCGTACAATTGAGACCCCCGACACTAATCGGGACACACCATTAACGGATTTATTTCCATGAACTTTGCTGCTTTTTATGAAGGGTTTTGTGCCAAACAATGTAAAAAGAAAGTCTGACTAGTCATGCACTGAGCACTCATGAGCTAGTCATGGATCTGCCAATGTTTCGCAGCTGTTAAGTTATCAAGGAATTCCAGAGGCATTGTTTTCCGTTATGAATCTTTAAGGGCGGCCTATCTAACCCTTTCTGCAAATCCACTATTGGAAAATGATTTTTCAGGCAGGAAATATTTGGCATTAGGAGGCCTTTGACAAGTAATTGCAAGCCGGCACCTCCGCACAGTGTCAATCCAGCGAGTCAGTGCGCTGCCATTCCTTCACTCACGTAGATGGTCAAATGATGCTAGATGGTCACAGCAGATGTTTTGCAGGGCGCTGCATCACAGGCTGCCCTGTAGCAAGTGCAATCAAGTTCGTTCTGACTTGTTTTAGTTCAAGTCGCTTACTGTCAAATTTACAGAACTGGGAAGCCTGCTATTTTTTAACTGCGACAGGAAGCCGCTGTGGCGGCGGACCCTCAATCAGTCATGCGCATCGCGACATGTCATACTTATGGACACTTTGAAGTACTAGGCAGGCCTCTATGGCAAGATTGAGAAAAGCATGTGACTGAAGCCTGCGAGATAGGAAGATGCGTAGCGCGAAACGCTCCGCTTCAATGCCAGGTTTGCCTGCTCTTCGTCATGCTGCATTCCCTCCACGACCGGATGTTGCTATCATGAAGCACAGCCATGAACATTTGAACGTTTCCGCTTCGAAGCTTTATGATCTTGTCATTACACTCTCTGTCGAACCCGCGCCGTCTTCTGGCCAAAGAACTCGCGGCTTGGCCGGGCATAAAGGAAGGTCAGCAGCTGCGTGAAGTGATACCTGATGGCACCCAGAAGTTCCGCCATGTCCAGCTTTAGTCCCTTCAATCGACCCCGAGCCTAAGGTTGACCCTTACAAGTTTTGTTGCCGAGTAGTCTACTGGCCTGGTTGTCTCAAGATGGACCGGCTCCACCTCTTCCACTCGCTGCAACAGCATGGCCACATCCTTCACCACGAATTTGCTGGGATGTTGGCTTGTGGGATTCTGGACAGCTCCGGTTTTGAAAGTGGTCGGCTTCACAGCAATATCAATCCAAGTGTTGGCCCTCCCGTCCCTTCCACCTGCACTCTACTGGGAGCAACAAAGCCTTTCGAGAATGCAGCCCTAATCCAAAACAGGCAGATTGTCATCATATTGCATCATGACGAGCCTTCAGCACGCTGCGCACGCACAATGGGCTGGAGAAACACGGCGCGATTCGCGCTGCGTCCACCTGAGCCGCATGAACAAGAACTCTGCGTTACAGTATTGTTGCTCTTGTCGTTGCTATGTGGCTGAAGCATGCTTACTGGTTGGTGCATCTGCATCTGAGCTCAGGAAAAGAGCGCGCACGGCGCAACTCTTGGACACCAACCCGCCGCGGTGTGTTGTGCTTGATGGTTTGATCATGTTACAGGGGCCCTCTTACGGCACAGTTAAGCAACACCAGCAATCCTGCGGGCTGACGCATTATGAGTTCAACGTAATCTCAGTCGCAAGCTGTGTCAGTTGGGAACATTGTTCGCATCCATGGGAATACCACATCTGTCTCCTGCATCTATACTAAGCGCATGTGGGTGGACATCTGCGTTGTGGAGGGAATCTCTGTCGCAGCGAGTGCAGGAAGTGATGGGAACTTGTGAGAACTGGACCAGTAATTATCAACGTGCCAGTTCTGTATGTGCGCACTACTATCAGTACGTCCTCTTGTGCCAGTCGCGGCTCATTCTCTGAAGGCGCCTCTCAGGTAGCAAAACTCCAGATCGACGATCCTCGCTCTGAAGCCTTGAGGACAACATCCATTGGCCATGTCTTGTTCAAGGACCCATGGTCTCATTCAGCAGCATCCCGAAGCTATCAGCACAATGCTCTACAAGAATTTAGAACTATGTTCCAAGCTCGAGCAGGAACGCCAGAGTTCGGCAAGATGCAAGTTTTTGAAGAGCTGTGAAAAAAAGTCAAGCTTTTTCTGCATGGCCACCTCAGAGCCACCACTTTCGGCCTGCCAAAGGATCTGCAGACCACTCCCCAAGGACTCCACGCACAGAAAGCAATTGTGCCAGGCCGACGCCGGGTTCGCCTGCCATGTCCTGGCCACTTTCTGAAGCCATGGCAGCGGAAGCCAGGCCTTCTGCTCACAACTTGGCGGTGCAGATCTGTATGTTCTGTATGCTTTGACAGACTTCTGCTACCAATATCTTCTGCTCTGCCTTGCTCTGGCTGTCATTGTGAGGCAGTCGGGCAATCATGCTTTTTGCCTACGTAGGCCACAGGAATGCAAATTCGCAGTGCCTTGGGCTTCTTGACTGTCTACTTCTTTGAAACTCATGCGGCGTGCGCAGCGGTGATCAGTGCAGGAGCTTTGCATGCGCGAAGGTGCGGAGATGCATGCAAAGTGGTTCAGATGGGACTGGATGAAACAAGTCTATCTAGCAAGCGAATCTCCATCAAAGACAGAGAGGCTTCCTGAACTGGCGTGAGAAAGATCAGCTACGGAAACAACATCCAAAGTAGCCGCGAAATTGAACGGACATTGTGCAGTTGGCTATGCTGGCCTTGGCAATTCTCCAGCAAACTCTGGGCAAATCAGATTTGAATTTGGTGCGCATCTGCTGCCTCGCAAAACTCTAGCAGCAATATCCACACAAATGCACCACACTCAATCCCCAAAAGTCCAGAGCCCTTTTCATGAGCTGTGAAAAAGCACCGGCCGAAATCCACTGGCAAACGCTGAAAATTTGCCCAAACAAGGCCACATGATCAGGTCAGGGGTGCCAGCAGAGAAATGTAAGGTTCAAAAGTCTGTTCTATCTAGTGCTGGCCCACCCACCTGGCACGAGGATTGCCTCAAGAGAGAAAGAGGTATGAAAGCCATGCAGGCAGGTTGGAATCAGAGCGAACCCTTCATGTTCCCAGACCGGGTAGCAGACCACCAAGGCGCAGAAATTCTCGAGTGTCAGAAGCAAAGAGTCCTGTGCACGCTGTCCTCCTTGCCTTTCTGTGATCCAGCTTCTCATGTGTTCTCAGAAAGGGTTGCATCACACACCCAAATGACCATTACGACAGTTTACTGATATGGCCGCACTTCATGCATAGAACGCGTGGGCAGGTATAGCACAGAAAGCACGCCTGCCTGTTCTACCTTGCAAGGTGGCCGCAGTAGGAACCGTTACTGCAGAAGGCACCATGCAACCTTACCTGTTTCTTCGCCAGAAACGACCTGTCCTCCAGCCATGACTGGGGACCTGGGATGGGGGGAAGTGGGGGGAAGGCTGCATGCAAGAACTCCATTAGGAATCATTAGGGCATGAGGCGTGAAGCATGACGAAGCTTTCTTGGAAGCCAGTGTCCCTAGTAGTTGAGTTGTCAAACTGCTCCGCGATGTTTTGGAGCACTGTCGGGTAGTGCTGAGGCTTGACAAACCAGAGCCGGCCTGCACTCCTAATAATCCCCAAGATCCCACAATTAAACCCTGGGTCAACCAGGTGCCCCGTGCTTCGCCGGGTGCGAACCGTCAGGCCCGGTATCGGCCATGTAAGGGTCCTGCACTGCGAGGCTTTCTTGTCAAGCCTCTTCGGATTGACGACGTTTCAGTTCACTATGTTGGGGAATCAACGGGCCTTCTGGGCCAGACCGCCGGCTGAGCAAAAGCCTTGTGGTACTCTGGATCCGCATGCATGCATAAGCTTCATTCAAGACTTGCTGGTGCAAGGGATGAGTCGTTCCAGGCCTCCCCTGCTAAGGCTGCTGAATCCCGCACATGCCCCAGAGACTGATGACGACGCCACGCAACATCAGGATTTAAGCTTTGATCCCATCAAAGCAGCGATAATCCGCACGAACTTCTTATACGTCAATGTTCTAGCGTTGTTGCAGGCAGCCAGTCATGATCTTAAAGGAAGACTCTTGAACTCGCATCTGCCGATGGCCAAACGGCACATTCAAACGCAGAATCAAACCTTCAACTGCTGCATGCAGATGCAGAACATGCGGAGCAAACCCCTGTTTGCTGCAAGACACCCAAACCGCAGGCCTCACTCCATGTATACCCTAGTCATCTGGCTATCGAATGACACTCAAAGGCCCGCCTGCCCAAGAGTCCATGAAAAGCCTTGCAGAAAAGAGCTCGCTTGGGTTTGCGGAGGCAGGTGCAGGAATAGCTGCTCTCAATGACGTTTACAATCTATAATGTATTGGTTACTGCAAAAGTGGCAGGACATGCTGATCTGCTTAAATCTGCCGTTTTCCATACCCAATAACTTGGAAGGTTATTCACTTTAACCAAGGGTTTGCTGACCGGCGGGCGTGATCCAAGCAACAGACTGCGCAAGTTCGGAGTTTGGCACACGCACAAATTAGGAGTGTGAGGCGCATGAAAAGCAAAGCTGTGCAAATATTTCAGATATGATCCTAGCCCCACCAGCTGACCGGGAAATCAACCGGGTGCGAGACCATCGACACTTCTCGAGTTTGTGCTTGTTGTTTTGCCATGATCGCTTCTGCTGGCAGTTTTTTGTTCCGGTCTGTCTCCTTGGGTACTGCCAGCAAGCCCTGCTGCGCTCCACTCACGCATCACAAGCACTGAAATGTAGCGGTCAGAGGCGGAAGGAAACCAACATAAGTACTTGCATCCGAAAAATACTCGCTGCATCCCGTGAATTCGCTGCTGTCTGTTCTCTCATGTTCTGGGCTGAAATTTGAGCACTGTTTTCTAGCTGTACAGCAGCACCTCAAGCTAAAGCTGTTGGGAATCAGGTTTCAAATGCGGCTGTCCTCTGCTCAATCGTGCGCCTCAGACAAAATATAAACAAACAAATGAAAATGACGCAAGCGGGCCGTGCCTAAAACTCCAAGACCGCCACCAACCCGATAAACCATGTCCTTCGTGCACAGGGCAAGATTTGCAAGCCCTAGCTAGGCTTGCGAGAAATGTTTGGGGAGTTTGCGAGTGCGTATCCTTTTGAGGCACATTTTCGACAGAAGCTGCACATTGCTATGATTCAAGGCCTGCAAGATGACTTACAAGCCCTGAAGGCCTTATGCTTTACTTCGCCTTCGAAAAGACTTGACTGCGCTTGTAAGCAGTTTCCTGTACCACGGCTCCACAAAGCAATCGCCTTCCCCCTTTGAGTCACGACCGCATCAGCACTACTGCAAAACTAGCAGAGCGGGGAGGGGTCCTCTCGGCAAAGCCCTTTGCCCTCCGTTCCTCGACCCTCATCTGCATTTCAAAGCGAGATATGCTTTTGCTAAGTGATCTGTAGGTCGTCCCCAACACACGCGATTCATCATTCACACTTTGTGTAGTAGCAAATGCCCATTCGAAACTCCCTGGCCCTAGCAACCAAATCAGTTCTTGCCCGTGTCTGGCCCTGATAGACCGGAAAACCCAAAAAGACTTGATGACAAAGCGAGTCATTTGCGGCACATCTAATATTCCGTGGATTGCGCCTCTGCGCCGATGGTGTCGATGCTCGGTACGACTACATGACGCTTGTCCTTGACTGTGTTGATCTCTTTACGTGAATGGTCCATCGGCTAAAGGATTGGCAGTCTGCAAAGCCTTGCGATGGAACCCCTAGGATGCTTTTCACGTCCTGGCATACGAAGAAATCTCACCAAGTCCACTCATTCTCGAGACGCTGAATCTGGAAACTTCTCTGGCATCGGTCAGAATGCTTCCTGAATCTAGCGCAAATTCACCAGTGCAAGCAACTCTTTTGCTCGCAGCTTCTGCCAGAACTAAATAGCTGTCCTTCAGAGCCTATAGTTACCGAAGCAGCATATTTCGGCGAATCCCTCTCCTCAGCAATGCGCGCCAGGATAGGCTCAATCCATCCTCGCGTAGCCTGGCGGCAAAAAACTTACTTTTGCATGATGTTGAAGCACCGCGACGAGAAAGGATTTTGCAGATTCTTGCTTGAGCACTGCTTGGGCAGGCAGCCATGATTCGAGCGTTTGGGATGAAGGCAACATTGCGGGCTTGCATGGGAAATGATGATGACAATCGTCTGGAGCCCCAAGGCAATGAAGAGCATCAAATAGCACACCGTACCCAGCCTCCACACCAACAACACATGCAGCGTAATCGAGCGGAGTTCAGCTAGACTAGACTCACTAGACCTTGGAAATCCTTGGAAGGTCTCAACCCCGAAACGTTGCCTCAATGTGGCTGTCCAAGAAGATGGTCACCGGCGCGTCAGAACGCCAAACGCCCTCCATGCGAGCCTCTGCTGTTGCCTCTTCTCTCTCAGCCTCTGTTTCCAAGGGGGCAGGACACCTAAATGCCCCGTACCCGCAGGCGTGCTGCCGTGGGTAAGTGCAACGTGCATGTGATACTCATGTAACTGTCAATGAGGTCATTGCCTTGCAGCTGCCGTGTTTTTCTTCTGCGGAGGGGCTCTGTCTCCATCACTCTGCCACACATCACCACAACCATGAGTGACCCCACCATGACACTAACACTACGCAATCAGAATGCCAGTGACAGCAACAACGCAACCACAATTTCCACCACCACCAACCACCCCATTTCTGAATTGTCAAAAAAATTGCCAAGCAGTTTTTCCGCTACTCAGCTACTCTGCTTCGCATGGTCCCTGCCCTCCACTTGCTTGAGTGCCAGCAGGTCTGGAGGCGACTCTGACTACTGCCGCCGTGCCCAGCTGCCACCATTGCCGATAGCTTGCTGCAACGCAAATGCCGCCATTGGAGGACTCGTTCTGCTAGGGTACCTTCCCAATCTTTGGGTCAACTCGAAAGGCCAGGGCCCTGGGCCGCATGGTCGCGAAGGAGCCGCTTGCAGAACTCCATAAGGGGCTCGCTGTTGCTGTTGCTCGGAAGAATGGCGCGCTGTGAGATGGTATGAGCATGACTACCACGGAGGCGCCCTTACGTAAAAGGAGTGTACATGTTCTTTACCAGGAACTGTGCATGCTGGTGATTATGACGGACATTTACTTTTCGCCGCTTGCGTTTCTGGCGTTGGGGTTCCAGGCTGCGCTATGAGGCCAAAGCTGAGCTGAGCACAGAACATGCGCCATGCGCCTGAATCAGCATGCTAGGGAGCCTGGCTGACATCCATCAGGCACTCGGAAAGGTCCATGGTTGAGGGTGCCCTTTGCCTTTGGCATGATTGATTTTTCGTATGGGTGCGCCATGTTCCCTTTGCTTGAAAGGTTCCCGTCTCAATCAGTTGCTCTTGGCTAATTACTCTGCACATTCCACGGCCGTGGGCGTTAGTTACCATCACAAGCCACAGGCTAATTCTTGCGCAACGACGCCGCAAACAGTGCTGTCAAATCCACCGTCAAGTACGATGACGTGCTACAGCTGTACCTGGCAAACCTTACTACCCTCTCGCAGCAAACAATGACAATGACGAAAAGGAAGATGCGGACAAGCCGCACCACGAGCAGCAGCCGCAGCCGTGCGCGCCCACGCAGAACAAGAACAATCAAGAAGAATGTGATGACATCACCACCACTACCTCCACCACCACCGCCGCCGCCATGAATACATTGACATGCAAACACCATGACCACCACACGCGACAACGACCACGACCGCGACCACGACCCACGACCACCGCCGCGCCGCCACCACTACCTCCACTCAAAAAGAAGAATGAGGAGGAGAAGGACGAGAAGCAGCTGCAATAGCCATAGCAGTGACAACAACACCAACACACACGCTATAACACGAAAACCAAGTATGTTATTACAACAAGACCAGTCGCACAGAAACCATTGCGCCTCGTTGCGGTGAGCAATGCTAAAGGCAGCAGCTCATACAAAGTGACATAGTGTCAATGACTGAATTCGGTCGCCGATTCCCAAGTCACCCTGAACGCTCCCGCGAGTAACTGCTGTCAAGCTGCCAGCATGAGGCCTGCAATGCATGGTTGCGTTCGAGGGGGCTGCGACATGTGGCAGTGGAAGGGCTTGAGCTTGCTTTGCTGCACTACCTTGGTAGTTCAGACTTTGCGTGCGCCGGATGCGATTGGGTTTGACTCTCCCTCTTTTCGACAACCTTGACCCCGAAGGTTGTGGCCTCGCCGCTCCTGTAGTCTGACCAGGCGCGTCTTGGGAAGGCCCTGGCCAGGGGTGACCAGCATGCTAAAGCGGCTGGTGTGCTCTCGGCCTAGTTCCTGACGAGCGAAAGCATGCTGCAAGTTGTGCTACTTCCACCGCTCATGCGATGAGGGTCCACATCCTGACATTCCTGGAGACATTATGAAGAAGATGGGAAGGTTCTCGTCTGCACTTTCACATCTGATCCCTTCACTCATGAGCATTTGGCAGCAACAGGCTTCTTCAGGCAATCCAATCTCAAACCGTACTGGAGCTGGCAACAGCTCACCGATACAAATATGTGTGGATTGGACCCAAACCCAGCTTCATGGCAAGCACATGACAGCCCTGACAGCCCTAGAAATCAGCCGCGGCACCTTGACATAGTCGGAAAGTTCATCTTGGAGTCGCACCCTGGCTTTCGGGGTGATCCGGGAAGTGGGTGGTCTTCAGGCAAGGAACAACCTGTCTGACGTTTGATTGATTCCGCCTACCTAGAAGAGGCTGCAATGCACCTGCGTTGAGATGTTTCGTGTGGTGCCATGACAGCATGATACCCGGCTTTGTCGAAACACCTCCTTGTGATGATGCTGATCCATGCTGATACATCATCTGCTGTCGGGCTCGTCCGCATGCCGCCTTTCTGCAGCAGGTCCCTGATTGTACATGGTCGGGTTCGAGACCAGTTGTGGTAAAATAAAATAATATAACGTGCAGGCGCTTCTCAGGTAGGACTGTGACATCCTGGTTGCATTTTTACTACAACCCCCACCAGCTCCAAAGCATGCCTGGTCCTATTCCATGTCAAAAAATCAAGAATAAGTCAAAGGACACGACTCCACAAGCATTGAAGGAAGAGCCATGCAAATGCTAACTCGCGCAGCAAGCTGCCCCTATACACAGGATCACGACAGGCAACTGTTCCAAGCATGCGCTACAAATTGCCAGGGGCAAGCTAAACTTGCGCAAGCCTATTCATGTCAGCCTGGGGGATTCAAGTCGATTTAGTGCTCTGGAAGAGGTAGGGCAAGCCAGCGGCTTTGGAAAATGCACGGGCCGGCGGCAAACTCGGAGCGTCTGAAGACTAGATTCATGGAATGGCGTGCCAGCTCGCAACAGGTCATGAGTGCTCCCAACTCCCACGGATCCGATCTAATTGTTTGTCACAAGCCCACATGGGATCAGCTTTTGCTGCTAGCTGCCCCGGCAAATTCCGCAGAACCACAGTGAACTCCTTGGGAGTCTTTGTTCCAATCCATAAATACAAATTCTCGTCTCTGCCACACACACACTCGTGGAATTTGTCCAGGCATGTCCATTCAACCTAATGAGCAAATCGAAGTGAAAGCCGTGTTGCACCCAAGTGCATCCCAGCAAGTCTACTTCGTTGACCACTTGTCCTACGTTGTAGGGTCAGCTCGCTCTTCTGCTTGTCGAAAGTGTCAGCGTCCAGTGAGCATCACTGGAGTCGCTGGCCATCAAGTGATTGTTTAGCCTAGGGTGGCAACGACACATAATCATAACTGGCAACTTAGTCGTGACATCTCAAGCATCCGGAGCTTTCTGTGCCGTGTGGTCTGTATTGTGGGCGGCCTTGTTGCCTGAAGCTGGGCTCTATTTTACTTTATACACGAGCAGACTCATGTCGCGGCTGTGCCGGCTGTGCCTGCCTGCAGCCCAGCATAGCCCAGCTATCCACCTCACTGCTTTGCCTTCTCCAGCTCAATACGGAGGCCACGGAGGCCTTGGCAGAACTCCAAAGGCTCTCAGCCTCTCAGCCTCTCTCTCCCTGTGCTGCTGTGCTGCACCTCGCTTCATATGCAGCAAGAAAGCATCGGTGAAGTTTTGAAACCTCGTGCAGCCTGCCTCAATAGGTCCACCACATGTTGTAAAACGTGACAAAAGGCTGCGCTCCCTGTGCATGTCTCAAAAGCACAGTTTGCGCCCTCGTTGTTCTACCAAGTCCTTAGTATGCTTCACAAATTACGTCAGCCGCAAAGCACCATGGTTTTGACCGCAACTTCTGCGCAAATGCCAGCAACAGCATGTGACTGATAAGCGGCTCCAACACCGCAAGGGACGCCCGTCAGGCAGTGGACCGGTCTCTTGATTTCAAACCCGGGATTGGGAATCCAAACACTTGGAATGGAGTTTCAAAGCTGGCCGGGAGTCCACGACATGTAACTGCCAGATGCGCAGCTCTTGCAGTGGCTCTTGCAGTTCCAATGACAGCAACAGTTATAGTAACCGTAATACTCATGCTGGTCCAAAGAAGGAAATCGTCGCCGACGTTGTCGTGCATGGTCATAGAAGTGATAATCATCATGAAAGTAATAGTGGGAGCTGCCTAAGGCGCAACACATATAGCGTTTCGCATTTCTGGTTGAGGGTTTGTCTTGAGGACTTCGGCGTCCCGGGCTAAAGGGATACCAGCGCGTCACAAAACGGAAAATTACCGCTCATGGCTTGCGGGGGTAAGTTCCAGGCCGTAAGGGTTTTTCGCATGGCAGGATTTTGCTTCAGGGCCGGTTGACGTCAACATCATTGCATATTGTTGTGCTGCGCGCGGACGAGTGCTCGAAGGGTCTTTCCTGATTGCAGCATGGTGCAAGGAAATCTTGGGTCCCGCAAGGTGGTATCGAATGGCTAAACACTGTCGAAGGGATCTGGTTGTCTGATCAAAGCTTTTGTAGATGAAGAGCGGGCAAACGGCAAATGCTGTTCCGTGTCATCTCAATCAGGGTGGCTGCAGTAGTAGAAAAAGCAGTAATAAAAATGTACAGATCATAATAATGGTAGCAGTAGTAATAATAGTAATAGTAGTCATCGTCGTGGTGGTCGTGGTCGGGGTCGTCTCATCATGGCCATGGCGGCCCTCGTCGTCACTGAGGTCGAGGTCGTTGCGGTGAAAACACTAATGACAACAAGTTACTCTGTACTAGCAATAAGTTCAAATCCATGTTCCATTGCAATAAGTGTGTGAGTAGCACCGCATGTGGCGGCAGGACATGCAGAAGAGGAAGATGATGATGCAGTAGTAGTAGTAGTAGTAGTAGTAGTAGGCGCCCCCCCTCCCCACCAACTATGTTTCCCAGATTGCGCATGTTGAAACCAGGTAACAACTGAGAAAATACTGGCTTTCGTGGAATGCCAACAGGCTTGTACTTTGGGTATGCGTTGGGATGCCGGGACGGGGTTGGGGCGGGGTAGGGTGGGGAGGGGGGAGGGGGTCGGTTGGGCATAGTGACGCCAATTTGAAGAGCGCACATGCAAAAACTATTGGCATTTACAGCATGTTTGATGATTTTGCGTGGGTGAGGCACGTTCCACACCAACCCTC